GTGGAAGTCAGTCGGCGGCGGCGGACGCGTCATGACCAGCGCGTCGCTTCCCATCGCCAAAGCCTGCATGCACCCGATGTCGATGTGCTGCGTGTGGTGCAGCTCAGGCTGGGACCCGGCCCAGCGGGCTTCACGTCCGGCCTGTTCTCTATCGGGGCCATCAGCAAGCAGCGTCACGTTTAGCGAGTGCTCACCGCGCCGCCGGCAGAGGCCGCTGACCACGAGTGGCGCGGTTCCGCGGCCGCTCGCCGCGGTCACCATCACACACGCACACACGTACACGCACACACGCACGCGCACACACACACACACACACGCACACGCACACACGCACGCGCACGCACACGCACACACACACGCACACACACACACACACGCACACACACACACACACACACACACACACACCCACACACACACACACACACACACCACACACACACACACACACACACACAGCGCAAGTCCATCCCTCTAGCTCGGTGCCAACACCGGGTGGCGTCCGGTTACGACCGATTCAGAGAAATTCTGTGGTGAACGGGAGTGCGGGAGCCGCCACCGACCGCGAGGTACTCGGGCTCCGTCAGGATGACTTTGACTGATGCGGGGCTCCGTGGCGCACGCATTCTTCAGGTACTCGCGAATGGCCACAGTGCAAGTGTCACCCTCGGTCGATCGGCACCATGCCGCCCGCCGCTGGCCGTTCGTTTGTGACCGGTACTCCCCTCCCCGCCGTTTCGGAGCACGAGTACGGAGCACGGCCACTGCGAATGCGGTCGCAGGACGCAGCAGTGGCGGTGCTCTCACCGCTTCAGAACGCGGCGCCGGCGGGACTTTAGCCGCCCAGTCGAGTGCTCAGCGATCACTCTGACCGCTCCGCGGCGGCTGTTGAAGAGCGCCCTCGGATTGTTCTCCCGCTGGCCCGTTTACGCCTTGATGCACCAGATCTGCAGGAGATAAACGCATCCGCCGCCGCCGACTGACTTCCACAGTGCTCTGGGGAGATCAGGACGTTTGTAATTAATTCGCAGCAGCGCCCTCCCATTGTGGTTCCCTGTAGTGCATCTGCTGAACCCTGCAAGACGCAGAGTCGCTTTGGTACGTTTTGGTTTCTACACAGTACGTTTATTTTCTAAGGAAAATTATGGTTTAATTGCAACTAGCAGGCATGTCTCATCGACGCAAGCATGGAAATGATGATGACCACCCGGGTGTGACAATTGTTGGTTACGAAATGATTATAACTACTGCACAATCCAAATATTATATAGTGCTGTGCTCAGTATACAGATTGAGCACAGCACTATGATTGCTGCTGGTGCCTATAATTGGGGATGGCACCACAAAATCGCCAACCTACCTGAACATGGCTCTATGCATTTGGGCCGGAAGTCCTCGTTCTCTCTTGGATGGTGTGCACAAGCTAAAGGCGTCTGCAGTTCCGTAACAACTTTTCTGCTTCTCATTCATGTTTCTGACTCTACCCTGATATAAGTTCACATTTGTCATCTCATAACAAAATTGCCAAAAAGGACCCGCCCTTGTATTTATGTGTCTGTAAGTTACCCATCCCTTTGGAGGCAGAATCAGCCATTTCATCTTGATTCCTGGTTTTGGGGAACAATTTTGTTGTGTCCTGTAGTAGAAAATTAAAGTAGGCACAGCATGCAGTGTCAATTTTGAACATACTGTTCCACTTTTGTTGGCCCTCCAAATGAGAGCATTGTAAAAACTTAAAATTTTCCACACAATTTATAGCATTCAAGACCCCGACAAAAATAATGCAACACAATATCCGCGATATTCTAGCTCCATACAAGGTTTCAATAGCAACTCATAGAAAACTGCGAGCCTTCTGGTGAGCTGAGGCTTCGGAAATGTCTTTCCTAACTTTAAGAGAGACTTCTCCTTCGAACACCAACCAACTCCCATTTGAGCCGCAAGGGATGCCATTACTACATAAATATGCCAGCCCACCACCCTCTGTTTATGTGACCAACAAGTCTGACAGCAAATCATCAGCGCAGCGGACGATTAATTGAGGTAAGCAAGGTACCGATGAATTGAAAATTATCGCTGAATTGTGTACCACACGATCGCATGGAATCACGTCGCAAAAGCAAATCATACCTTACAACACAATCAAAACATCGATCCTCCTGTTTCATAACCAGCGCTTCTTGCCAGCTTTCGTAACAAGATATCATAAGAATACACGCAATGCTTTTTGTCCGCTTCATCCGCAGTGGATCGCATTCTTCGAGCTACCTTTTCACTTTCCTCTAAGATCGATTGAAAACGTGACCCACCTAGGCAGCTTACAATCTGGCCACTTTTGGGCTACGGTGGCCAGTGCAGACGCGCGGGGGGCGGAGAAGGCCCATGCTGGTTGTCAAGAGTGGAAGTCAGGGTAGTTCGCCGCAGCAAATTTGCTGGACAAGTACTACGGAACAACACCTGAACATTTTAGCTGGGCAATGAAGAAAACATGCTATGAAACGAATTGTATCGCATTACCACACTTATTAGTAACACAAACCTGGGATAACCCCTGAAAGTCACCTAGGTGCTTATGCCCGGTTGTGCGTTGTGAACAGGGTTTCGGACGCGTCATTAGTCACACGCTCAGGTCGAGACAGTCCGTTCCGCTGACTGGTGCAATGGTCTTCTTAAAGAGCTGGCGTTCGCACTCGTTCAGCGCTTACAGCCATCGATACCGTAGATGAGAAGAGTCATTTTAATTAAATTATCGTTGTTTCTAAGCCATAAATTAACTTTCAATGCTACCAACAAATGAAAGGCTGGTCGAAAAGCATGCAGGCGCTTTTTTGAAACCAAAAAAGGGGTCTGACACCCTTTTAAAACAACCGAAGGTAATTCTATGATGAGAAGCCGCGGTTAGAGTAAACCGACTGTTAATTGCGTAATTATAAACTTTAATTAGCAGTGACATTAGGGCATATGCTACGTTGAACCATAACAATTTCGGTGTAAACCGATCCACAGCATAGGGGGTTGATGTGGGTTCCATCTCAAACTGTCGATGAAAAGCAACCATCACCACCTGTAATCTCACTAATGATGTTACGCAGCTCTCGAAGACAGACGACGATCGCGGCAATCTACCCGTCGTCCACAATGTGGTAAATGCATGTTGAAGTGTGACTGCCAAGCGCGCGCCTCACATCATCTCCTTGTGAGGGGGTCACCACACCGCGTCACCGGTGGCGGCGGGCGGTGTGTGGTGGTGACGCCGGGCACCGCCTCTGTCTCGACTGCGCTACGTCCGTCACGGCCCGATGTTTGCCGGCGCTGCGGGTGTCGTTTGGCCCGGGATCGATGAACAGACGCGAGACGAATGCGACGTGGCTCTCGTGGGGTGGCGATGGCCGCGGCACAGGTGGACGCGCCGTGGTTTGCCGCCCCAGCGACCAGAGGCCGGCGCCAGAAGACTTGAATTCAAATCACACTCGGCACCATGGCTTGCCGCCACCACAGCCTTCATTTAATGGCAACCGGCGACATTCATTGCGTGGCAGTCGTCATCGGCTTTCAGCATACGTTATCCTATGTGGATCACCACATGCTATCATCAGCAGCTGCGACTCCTATCCATGGAGCGCCAGCGACTACGGCGGTGCATTAAACCTGCGGACGTAGCATCCTCCGGGAATCAAACTCAGGATTCTCCCGCTAAAGTCCGCTGCGCTGCCAAACTGAGCAGCTGTGATCACCCCTACCACTACCATATGCGTTTCGTCTCCTTTTCTCGTTAGGAATGACGGGCTCTCCATGTTGCAGGTGGGACTGAGGCCGGGCGACCTTCTTCTGGTATGGGCGGCCGCTATGATCGTGCCGCCGCCGCTGCTGCTGTTGCTGCCGTTGCGGCTGCTGCTGCTGACGCCGTTGCAGACCGCTGGGGGCGCCGCCGAGCTGGGCCGCCCACGACGTCCGCTTTCCGTGCTCGGCCTATTCGACCTGGACGCGCCGCGGTGCGCGACGGCTTGCGGTCGCGGCCCGCTGGAAGGGCGCGCCGATCTGGCGGCGGCGCGGCTGGCGCTGCAGCACGTCAACCGGCGCCGCCTGGTACCCGGCTACCGGCTACGGCTGATCACCAACAACACCAAGGTAAGCAGCGCATCGAGGCACCGCC